AACAACACGAACACAAGAGTAGAAATAACGAAGGTATATTACACGAAATAATAATACAAGTTGTGGAAGGTGTTAGTATGACTGTCAGTCTGGTTTGGAGTGAACTACTATCGGCTATCGATTCGGTCGTCTGTGGAGGCCAGGTTTACGTGGGTTTCCCGAGCCCGTAGGATTCTGTAGAACCCGGTCGGGATCAACCTACTCTGCCCTTCGGCGCCTCGTCCGGGTTCCTCCTGCCACCACATATTACCACGAGGGTTTGTCATTTTTTAGGGGGCTCAGCCAAAAAAATGCCCGTATAACTCGTAAAAACGAGATCGGTAGTCATTCACCCGAACGAGATTCTGCCCTTCGGCGGAACCTCGTCCGGGTTCCTTTCTTGAAAAGCAGAGTTCGACCGTCAAGTCGAAAAGCTCGGCTTGATTCAGTATCTAGCCACCCCCACGAGGGTTGCATGCGACACAAGGTCATTTTTATGGGTTTCCTGGAGCCCGTAGGCTCAGCCAAAATATGCCCGTATGACTCGTAAAAAAACGAGATCAGGGGGTCATTCACCCCGAACGAGATTCTGCCTTCGGCGGAACCTCGTCCGGGGCTCAAAAGCAGAGAGTTCGACCGTCAAGTCGAAGGATTCAGTATCTAGGGGGTTGCATGCGACACAAGGTCATTTTTATCGTGGGTTTCCTGAGCCCGTAGGCTCAAAAAATATGCCCGTATGACTCGTAAAAACGAGATCAGGGTGGGTCATTCACCCCGAACGAATTCTGCCCTTCGGCGGAACCTCGTCCGGGTTCCTTTTCTGCTAGTTCGACCGTCAAGTCGAAGCTCGGCTTGATTCAGTATCTATACCCCCACGAGGGTTGCATGCGACACAAGGTCATTTTTTTATCGTGGGTTTCCTGAGCCCGTAGGCTTAGTATGACTCGAAAAACGAGATCAGGGTCATTCACCCCGAACGAATTCTGCCCTTCGGCGGAACCTCGTCCGGGTTCCTTTCTGCTAAAAGCAGAGAGTTCGACCCGTCAACCCCGAAAAGATCGGCTTGATTCAGTCATTTTTTATCTAACCACCCCCCACGAGGGTTGCATGCGACACAAAGGTCATTTTTATCGTGGGTTTCCTGAGCCCGTAGGCTCAGCCCCCGTATGACTCGTAAAACGAGATCAGGGTGGGACCCGAACGAGATTCTGCCATTCGGCGGAACTCGTCCGGGTTCCTTTCTGCTAGCAGAGAGTTCGACCGTCAAGTCGGGGTATCTAGACCCCCCCACGAGGGTTGCATGCGACACAAGGTCATTTTTTATCGTGGGTTTCCTGGGCCCGTAGGCTCGGCCAAAAAAAAATGCCCGTATGAATCATTCACCCCGAACGAGATTCTGCTCTTCTCGTATAAAGTTCGACCGTCAACCATCGGTGATTCAGTATCTAGGGTTGCATGCGACACAAGGTCATTTTTATCGTGGGAAGCCCGTAGGCTCAGCCAAAAATAGCGCCCGTATGACTCGTAAAAACGAGATCGAGGAGATTCTGCCCTTCGGCGGAACCTCGTCCGGGTTCTGCTCAAAAGCAGAGAGTTCGACCAAATCAAGTCGAAAAGATCGCTTGATTCAGTAGAGGTTGCATGCGACACAACCGTATGACTCGTAAAAACGAGATCAGGGTAGGTCATTCACCCCGAACGATTCTGCCCTTCGGCGGAACCTCGGTATGTTCGACCGTCAAGTCGAAAAAGATCTTGATTCGACCCTCTCTCTTGAGAGGCATAGTATACATAGTGTTAGGAAGAGTTCATTCTGTAGTTATAGGTAAGGACCCATGACAGTATGAATCCGTCTCTTCTCGTAGAAGGCAACCAGTCTACCGGAGATAGAAATGGCTAACTATCGAAAGATACATGATCGCCCAAGCCTGTGGCACTTGACTGACTGACATTAGCAAGTTGAACATGGAATTTGTTGTCCTAGAAGTAGATTGCTATATAAACGCGAGTCATGTTCTTAAATAATTTCGTCAGGTGGAGACTTTCATATGGATGTCATGTATGGCACCAAACCCGTTCAGAGATACCTAAACTGTAAGCTGTTTACAACCGCTTTCTCAAATCAATGATTTAAAAACGGCTTTTAGCAAATGAAACCTCTGGGTCGGAGCGTGGACTTTTTTGAGCCTCGTGGACTGATGCTACAGAATCATAAATAAACAACTGTTCCGAATAACAGAATCTTGATGACTTTCAACAGTAGCAACAACTAAAATGTATGGCGTATGAAACTCCAAGAGAAATAATGACATAATCAAGATGTTGACATTAAACAATAATTGAAAAAAAAAAGTTAGAAAAGAACTCCCTATTAATACTGGAAAGAGCAATAATATCTACTGGACTTGAGAAACACATTTTCCTTAAAAAATTCTTTTAAGAGAAAATATTTTTTTAATCATTTAACCCCAAGCAAGGCAATAACGCCACTAAGACGCAAGAGATTACTGAGTGTTAGACATATCAGACTTTAAAGTTTAAATTTAGAGGTTAAACGTCCCTGTATCTTTAACGTTTGGATGTAAACTGTCTCCGGCATTTGTTGTATTTTTTATATCTACTTTTCCCACTACATTTATAAACAGTGTGCGGCAAAAGTAAGGCTCTTTTTTATTTACTTTTATTGCGTAAAAATAAATTACAGCAGTTTTAAAAACTTATGAGTATTGTCACATGAAAAGAAGATGATTTGTTATGATTAACAAACTATTTAATATCGTCAAAATGTCCTCTCCACGTTCGGTAGAATTCTGAACCCTATAAGCAATACTTCTACAGAGCATTAGACACATTAATCTCAGAATATTTATCAGAAATTCCTTGTTTTGTAAGTACTGTCATGTGAGAACAAGGTGATTTGTTATGATTAACAAACTATTTAATATCTTCAAAATGTCCCCTCTACGTTTGGTAGAATTCTGAACCCTATAAGCAATATTTCTACAAAGCATTTGACACATTAATCTCAGAATATTTATCAGAAATTGTTTGTTTTAAATCAGGAATTTTTTCGGTTTGACCTTGAGGGGTGTATAATTAGATCTTTCCTTACGCCCCACAAGAATACATCTGTTGGTGTTAGGTCTGGTGATCGTGATGGTCACTCAAATGTTCTACGTCATCCTATCCAATTAACGGTAATAATTGCACAGCTTATAATGACACGATATAATGGCATCGGGAAAAATGCTTGGTCACAACATAAGAGTCTAGTTATTGCAATAAAACGGTGTGCTCATGTCTAAACATGTTGCTTTCCATAAGTTTTAAACGTATAAATTTATATTAACAAATGGCGGTAAAATAATTCTACTTTTTTTTTGTTTTTGCTAATATTTAAAAATAAATAAATAAAGTTATATATGATATATACAGTGTAACCCGGATATAAGAGAGTTGTCGGGACCGGAGAAGACGTCTCTTATATCCGGGTTTCTCTTATATCCGGGTTTGGTCTATTTTGTTTAGGTAAGTATGGGAACACTTTGGGACCAGAGAAAATCTCTCTTATATCCGGGTTACACTGTACATAATTTTTAAAATCAGATTTCATTTACAACCAACTTTTTTTGTCGAAAGTGTGTCTTTCAATAAACTTATTTTTTTTTTTCCTATTTTTCCCTTGTGCCATTTTTAGCTTGAAATTAAGATTTCCCGATCGGGTTGGTCAACCTCCCCGAACGAGACTCTGCCCTTCGGCGGAGCCTCGTCCGGGTACCTCTCTGCTCAGAGGCAGAGAGTTCGACCGTGTAGCTGAGAGGCTCGGCTTGATTCGGTATTTACCCCCCCCGAGGGTTGCATGTGGCACAAAGCTGAATTTAACGTGGGTACCCCGAGCCCGTAGGCTCGGCCATAAAATGCCCGTAGAACCCGTATAAACGGGATCGGGTTGGTCAACCTCCCCAAACGAGACTGCCCTTTGGCGGAGCCTCGTCCGGGTCCTCTCTGCTCAGAGGCAGAGACTTCGACCATCAAGCCGAGATGCTCGGCTTGATTCGGTATGAATCAAGCCGAGCCTCTCGGCTTGATTCATACCGAATACATTAAAAAAAATGTCGGTTTTATGTGGGTGGCGGACATACACAAAGGTCAAGGGCAAAAAGAAAGAAAAAGATTTTTTTTTTAATTATGGTTTAATAGAAATTATTAAACCATAATTAATCTTAATCCATCTTAAACTAGTGTTATTTATTTTTGTTTAATAAAAGATAATAAATAAAAACGGCGTTATTTTTGCTGCACCCTCTAAATCGTTAATGTCGAGGGTATGAACTAGCTTTTTTATGTAACTCATTTTTTAATATACTTTTTTTTACGTCGACATAGATTACACTGTATGTACATGTTTATGCACATGCGCAGTAGAGCGATGGCAACAGGCGGGAAACACTGGAGCACGGGTCCTCAAAACGAGGCGCACGTATTTCTAATTGGCCCGGTCTCACAGTGCAAGACACTTAATCTGATTACTGACCACCGCCAATAGCTAATAAGTCCTGAGACTGGCCACAAGGGTCAGAGTTTTCCACTTGTTAGTCAGAGCAGTGAGGGTCAACTGTAATGTCCGTGTATAATTAGAGGGGACCGGAAGCTACGGCGACAACAGGATGTTATGGCCGAAGGTTGACAAACTAACACAGAGTGAGAGGAAGAGAGAAGAAGAAGGAAAGAAGAGGACGAGGAAGAAGGAAAGAAGAGGATGAGGAAGAAGAAGAAAAGTTAAAGGATTGATAAATAATGACAGAGAGAAAGAGAGAAAGAATGTTGTGAGCTGCAAAAAGAAGCAAAAAATGTCGTTAAGGAAAGGCAAAATGAGTGGAAAGAGAAAAAAGGGCGGGGAGAAAAAAGGGCGGGGAGAAAAAAGGGCGAGGAGAAAAAAGGGCGGGGAGAAAAAAAAGGAACAAAGATATTGCATATAATGGAAGAAAGAGAAAAAGAAAGAAAAAGATTTTTTTTTTTAATTAGGAAAGAGAAAAGAGATAGGGAGAAAGCGGAGACGGGGAAATGAGAAGAAAAACCATAAGAGAGAGAGAGAGAGAGAGAGAGAGAGAGAGAGAGACAGAGAGAGATTGCTAAGCCGAAAGCGCGCGCACAAGAGAGAGAGAGAGAGCGAGAGAAAGAGAGAGAGAGAAAAGGAGAAGCAAAATCAATGAAGGAGAGAAAAGTGAGAAATAGAAGAGAAACCAACGAAGGAATTCAGAGGGGGTTGAACGAGAAAAGAAACAGGAGAGAATAAAAAAATACTAGAGAAAAGAAAGAAAGAAAAAAGGACGCAAGAAAGAAAGAAAGAAAGAAAAACAGAGGAATAAGAAAAAAGGAGAGGGGTGTATAATTAGAGAGAGAGAGAGAGAGAGAGAGAAAGAGAAAGGGGGAAGCAAAATCAATGTAGGAGAGAAAAGCGGAAATCAGAGAGAAAAGAAAGAAGGGGTTGAAACAGGAGAGAATAAGAAAATACTAGAGAAAAGAAAGAAAGAAAGAAAGAAAGAAAGAAAGAAAGAAAGAAGAAAAACAGACGAATAAGAAAAAATGAGAGGGGTGTATAATTAGAGAGAGAGTGAGGGAAAAGGAGAAGCAAAATCAATGAAGGGGTTGAACGAGAAAAGAAACAGGAGAGAATTAAAAAAATACTAGAGAAAAGAAAGAAAGAAAGAAAGAAAGAAAGAAAAAAGAAAAACAGACGAATAAGAAAAATGAGAGGGGTGTATAATTAGAGAGAGAGAGAGGGAAAAGGAGAAGCAAAATCAATGAAGGGGTTGAACGAGAAAAGAAACAGGAGAGAATTAAAAAAATACTAGAGAAAAGAAAGAAAAGAAAGAAAGAAAGAAAGAAAAAAAAAAAAACAGACGAATAAGAAAAATGAGAGGGGTGTATAATAGAGAGAGAGAGAGAGGAAAAGGAGAAGCAAAATCAATGAAGGGGTTGAACGAGAAAAGAAACAGGAGAGAATTAAAAAAATACTAGAGAAAAGAAAAAAAGAAAGAAATAAACAAACAAACAAAAAAGAAAAAAGAACGAAAGAAAGAAAGAAGAAAAACAGAGGAATAAGAAAAAAAGAAGAGGGTGTATAATTAGAGAGAGAGAGAGAGAGAAAGAGAAGGAGAGAAATTGAAATGAAAAAAAAAAAAAAAGATCAGAGGAAGAAATTTACACGCTTCCCCACGGCAGGATGTGACACAATGTCGGTTTTATGTGGGTGGCGGACATACACAGAGGTCAAGGGCAAAAATTGCGCTGTCCATTGTGTGCACTGTCACGCTGACACGGATATCCACAAAAAACCCTTACACTTCTGTGCAACCAGGATGGTGCTGGTGCAAGAATGGAATCCCTGGTAAAGACTTCCTCATGGGAGCTTACAGAAAGGAGAAAGAGATACTACACGTGAGCCGAGAAAAGGAGACAGAAATATAAGACAATTAGTTTCATTAATAAAACATAAATAAAAGAAAAATAGATAGATAGATAGATAGATAGATAGATAGATAGATAGATAGATAGATAGATAGATAATGGACAGACTGAAAGTGACAGATAGATAGATAGATAGATAGATAGATAGATAGATAGATAGATAGCGAACTCTCCCACATGGAAAAGAATGCTGTACAATCTACACAGAAATGAAAGTTGAGGCAACAGAAATATAGTTATACAGGGGGCTGCTAAGAATGCTCTTGATTGAACAACGAGGAATTTGAAAGGAAGATGGAGACAAAAAGGGTAAGAATAAGAAAGTGACCGTTGAAATTACTAAGACTGAATAAGGAAAGAGAACTTGGAGAATTTGACACGCACAGGGTACATTGAAGGCACGACGGACAGAGGAAAGAAGCGGGAAACCTACCTAACGAGATTGTGTAAACAGATGGTAGAACAGGATCTGGGAGCTGTGATGAAAAATACAAGCTTAAGATCTAAAAAAATAAAGGAAGTTGTGTAGAGCCTTGATCGCCAACAGGCCAATAAAAAAAAAAAAAATCCCGACAGAAAATAGATGGATAACATATAACAAAATAGGCAGTATTGATTTTTTTTACGGCTTAACAACCTTTTGCAAGTTATTTAAAGCCAGAAAATATTTTTAGGGTGCAAGAATTATTTGGAAAGAATTTTTGCTGATACAAGTTTCAGGAGAGAGGAAAGGAGGTGGAATCTTACCACCCCAAGGGTACTTTGCACCTAAGTGAATATAACGAACTCGAGTGGAATTCGAACTCAGACCTCCGATTTCCAATTCCGTGTCATTATCCATTGCGCCACAAAGAGATTCAAGCTTTCAGCACCTGCTATTCGCAAGTGGTCACCCATCTAGGTTCTGAACAGGTTCGACGTTGCTTGACTTAAGTGATCATACGAGAACCAGTGAAATTAGAACAGTCTACCCAAGTGAGCGAAATAAAGGGTTCAGTTCGACATTCCAACTACCTGAAGAAGGCCGGAGCGTACAACGGCCGAAACGTTGTATTAAATATGGCGACAAAGATGAGGACAATAGTCCGAATAATGTAAATAGTGTACATAATACCTCATCTCAGAAATATAAACAGATACTGAAAGGCCGAAACGTTGTAATAAATATGGCGACATAGATGAGGACAATAGTCCGAATAATGTAAATAGTGTGCATAATACCTCATCTCAGAAATATAGACAGATACTGAAAGGCCGAAATGTTGTAATAAACATGGCGACAAAGATGAGGACAATAGTCCGAATAATGTAAATAATGTACATAATACCTCATCTCAGAAATATAGACAGATACTGAAAGGCCGATACGTTGTAATAAATATGGCGACAAAAAAGAGAACAATAGTCCGAATAATGTAAATAGTGTACATAATACGTCATCTCAGAAATATAAAGATACTGAAAGGCCGAAACGTTGTAATAAATATGGCGACAAAGATGAGGACAATAGTCGAATAATGTAAATAATGTACATAATACCTCATCTCCGAAATATAGACAGATACTGAAAGGCCGAAACGTTGTAATAAATATGGTGACATAGATGAGGACAATAGTCCGAATAATGTAAATAGTGTACATAATACCTCATCTCAGAAATATAGACAGATACTGAAAGGCCGAAATGTTGTAATAAATATGGCGACAAAGATGAGGACAATAGTCCGAATAATGTAAATAATGTACATAATACCTCATCTCAGAAATATAGACAGATACTGAAAGGCCGATACGTTGTAATAAATATGGCGACAAAAAAGAGAACAATAGTCCGAATAATGTAAATAGTGTACATAATACGTCATCTCAGAAATATAAAGATACTGAAAGGCCGAAACGTTGTAATAAATATGGCGACAAAGATGAGGACAATAGTCCGAATAATGTAAATAATGTACATAATACCTCATCTCCGAAATATAGACAGATACTGAAAGGCCGAAACATTGTAATAAATATGGCGACATAGATGAGGACAATAGTCCGAATAATGTAAATAGTGTACATAATACCTCATCTCAGAAATATAGACAGATACTGAAAGGCCGAAATGTTGTAATAAATATGGCGACAAAGATGAGGACAATAGTCCGAATAATGTAAATAGTGTACATAATACGTCATCTCAGAAATATAGACAGATACTGAAAGGCCGATACGTTGTAATAAATATGGCGACAAAAAAGAGAACAATAGTCCGAATAATGTAAATAGTGTACATAATACCTCATCTCAGAAATATAGACAGATACTGAAAGGCTGAAACGTTGTAATAAATATGGCGACATAGATGAGGACAATAGTCCGAATAATGTAAATAGTGTACATAATACGTCATCTCAGAAATATAAAGATACTGAAAGGCCGAAACGTTGTAATAAATATGGCGACAAAGATGAGGACAATAGTCCGAATAATGTAAATAATGTACGTAATACCTCATCTCCGAAATATAGACAGATACTGAAAGGCCGAAACATTGTAATAAATATGGCAACATAGATGAGGACAATAGTCCGAATAATGTAAATAATGTACATAATACCTCATCTGAAAAATATAGACAGATACTGAAAGGCTGACACGTTGTAATAAATATGGCGACATAGATGAGGACAATAGTCCGAATAATGTAAATAGTGTACATAATACCTCATCACAGAAATGTAGACAGATACTGAAAGGCCGAAACGTTGTAATAAATATGGCGACAAAAAGAGAACAATAGTCCGAATAATGTAAATAGTGTACATAATACCTCATCTCAGAAATGTAGACAGATACTGAAAGGCCGAAACGTTATAATAAATATGGCGACAAAGATGAGGACAATAGTCCGAATAATGTAAATAGTGTACATAATACCTCATCTCAGAAATATAGACAGATACTGAAAGGCCGAAACGTTGTAATAAATATGGCGACAAAGATGAGGACAATAGTCCGAATAATGTAAATAATGTACATAATACCTCATCTCAGAAATATAGACAGATACTGAAAGGCCGAAACGTTGTAATAAATATGGCGACAAAGATGAGTACAATAGTCCGAATAATGTAAATAATGTACATAATACCTCATCTCAGAAATATAGACAGATACTGAAAGGCCGAAACATTGTAATAAATATGGCGACGAAGATGAGGACAATAGTCCGAATAATGTAAATAGTGTACTTCATCTCAGAAATATAGACAGATACTGAGAATTTGATGTCCAGTAAATCTATATGTAAGCTCTCATAATTGAGAATATTATATGCTTTATTTCAATGATCAGATATAACGTATTGTAACAAATACATTCAATTAATAGAGCAACATAAATTAGTATTTACGGTAAAATTCACGAATTACCTTTTAGGTTTTGTCATAGAAAAGTCCTTTTTAAACATTCATAATAATAAGATCTTGAACTCTCAGTATTACAATACATAAAGTCCCTTGAAGCAAAATAAGAATAGAAACAGGGACATGATGACGCGAAAATTCTGGCGTGCGCTAGTCACACAATTACGCCAATTTTCGCATCTATGCATCCATTGCCAGGGCTGTAGGTAGATACTCTTGCTGTTCTCATATATTTGCACAACTAGGCCTACAATAATCTATACAAGGAATGCGAATGTCAGTGTGTCACACTTTTTCAAATTTACTCCTAGAAGCCGTAGCCCAACATATAACACCATTTTGGAATCAGGCCGACTCCATGAGCAAATTAAAAAACATTCCGGGCCAGATCCGGGCTCGCAATCCTGAAATTTTGGATTCCCAATTTCTTTATAACTGCGATTGTTTTCCGATTCCGCCATTTTGGCTTCTACTGATAAAAACATTTAAAGGGACACAACTCTCGAACTAAATATTGAGTTCTTCTGTAGTTTATTGTTGCGTATCGTATCTACTCCTCCCTACCTATTGTGCTGAAGGTCCAATCACGAGCACTCCACAGGAGCTAGCTTATATGACGCTCGACAGGGCGGCTTTTAAGCTTGTTAATAATAAATACTAATAAACAGAACTAAGTTTAGTATTTGGTTTGTTTTGTTTTACGTCATATCTTCCTCAATGGGTTATTTAATGCCTACAACTTGTTTTTTCTACTAATATTTTGTTTTGTTAAAAATCTATTTCTGGTAATATTTTTTTCCTCAAAAATGTATAGCTGGTAATATTATTTTAAAACATGTATTGATGGTAATATTTTTTTTCAAAAATATATTGCTGGTAATAGTTTTTATTTTTTTTTTACAATGTATTTCTAGTATTAAAACCTATTTTTACACTTTTATAATGCTTTTAACCTCAGTTTGGGGTTAACTATTTGCCCATAGCCGGGTCAGGGTGGACCTGGGAGCACCAGCAATTAAGAGGTGGTTCCACGCTCCTCAAAACCTCCTGATCAGAGGCCTTGCTGTTGGACGTAGTTTATCGTCTTACCCTGGACGCGGATGTAGTTTAACGTCATAGGAATTTTTGTGTGACATGTATAATTACGTTTAGTATGTGAATGTAAGTGTATGTAGGGATGTGGTTAGTAGACAGTAATTATTCTCAAGGGGGATGCTTCATGGTTGCTGTGGGGCCTTTCTTAATTCTTGGACCCCTGAACAGAGTACTGGTTGGACCCCGTTCTCATAGGCTCCAAGAGATGGAACACATTCTGCATAATGGGATCACCTTCCAAGCGGATACTTACTCTAGAGAAAATTAAAGATATATGTATTGTTTTGACTTGCGTGTAAACCGAAGAAGTCTACTTTTTTTGGCCCTAGTGTAATCTGAGCCTATCTACCTTTTGAGCCAGGTATACACGATCTATGCTTCCCCTTTTAATAGAATATGTATACTGGACTTATATCTAACTTTTTGATTCCATTGTCAACATAACTAAGTCTACCTTTTTGAATCGAGAGTAAACTGAACCAATGTTTACCTTTTTCACTCTTGTGAAAACTTTACCAATGTCTATATTTTTTTACTTTAGTGTAAACTGGTGCAGTGTCGATCTTTTTCACTTCAGTGTAAGCTGCACCTAAGTCTACCATTTTATCAAAATGTCTACCTTTTTGACTTCAATGTAAGCTGGACAGATAGCTACCTTTTTAATTCTAATGTAAACCGAACCATTGTCTACCTTTTTTGATTCTGGTGTTAACCACATGTATGTCTACTTTTTGTCCCCAGTCTAGACCGGAACTATATTTACTTTTTTTTTTTAATCTAGTGTAAACCGGAAGTATGTTTATCTATTTGACCCAAGTGGAAGCCGATGCTCTGTCCACCTTTTCATTGTGATTTTTTGTCATACAAAAATTATATTCAACATTAAATTAACTGTCAAGTTTTATGTAGTTAAATTAACCAACGTAGCTCTTAAGGGCCACAGTTGCTTTTTCCGCGTTCATCTCTCAGCGAAAGCTACGTACGTTTATAAGTACCTATGTATTTGTTTATTGTAGATCTACCTAAGAGTAAAGGGTCGTTTTCAAGAGCATGTTCTTCTCCATAAGCACCTATTCCATTTAAGGACGTCGGTGTCTATTCAAAATGACCTTATTTAAAAGACATAAGACCTCTTATCGTCACGGTTGCCATTGTTTGCTGACGTAAGATACCCAGGTCATTCAGTGCACTTTTTTTTTCGTCTGCGTGTGTGCATCTACTCAGCTTTTTAACGACGTGTGAGAGACCAATTATTCTAAAAGTGTGCGCTGCGATTTGCCAAGGCGCCACACTGCTTACAGGGGCGCCACGAGGTATTCGAAATGTTTAATAATTCTCTAATGGCTAAAAATTAAATCTATCTGGCACATCGTTCTATTCCTTCTATGTTGAACGCCATCATTTCAACACTAGATGGTGCTCTGTCGATTAAAATAGGTTCATATTCGGTGGAGTAATGGATAGCGGCTCGAATTGAGGAGTCGGGAGAGTTCGAATTCCAGTCGAATCCATTACATTCCCTTACTTGCTAATAACCTTGGGAAAGGTATGAATCCTCTTCTTCTCCCCCCTCCAGCTATGGGTAAAGAGTAAGACAGACTGGGTTCTATGTCTGTTCTTGGACGCCAGAAAGCACACAGCCGGAGATTTTTTTTTTTTTTTTTTTCGGGCAGACCGACTGCTTCATTTCATCAAACCACGTGGTTCACGCAAACACGTACTCTTTCTCTTTCTCTCTCTTCTCCCCCCCTCTCTCTCTCACACGCACAGAAAGTTGCGCAGAAGCACACTACTGTTAATCAAATATTTTCTTTTCCATTTTTTCATAGATATGTTTTTCTATGTATGAATATATGTATATAAATCCTCGCCGTATTGAATTCATTTATTTTTTAGTTTTCAACTGCTTTCCCCCTTACAACTGACAACAGTATCCGTTACACAATTGACACTCTAGGAAGGCCAGAAAGCGTAGATGCCAGAACGACTGAAGAAACATATATTAGGATATTAATCTGATTAATTCATGAAATGAGAAAGGTGTATTTCAATCTGATATATTAAAGTTACGCTTGAGCAATGAAGTACAAAAAAAAATACTTGGTACTGTAACATAATTAAAAATGAAGGTTGTATTTCAATCGCTCATTCAGCATAAAAATTTCCAAAACAGAACCAGGAATTGGATCTGAAATTCGAGTGAAAATAGAATTAAATGTAAAATAATAAAGTATTTAATTACCAACGCAATTTAAGAACAAAGAATTAAACAGTCAACAGAAAGATTATTGATTACTTATCAGTTAATACATGATTGTGTAGAGCTGCTAAGAAAAAAGTACTAATTTGTCTTGAGACAATTGATATTTGACTTTAATGTCCGGGTTAACACAATCGTCAAACACGTAATTGCAACCACCAGTCAGTGGCATGATATCTATTTATATCAAATGGCGGTCTACATTTTCACTATCTAGAGATTCGCATTCAACTCCGGTGTTAGCAGTGACACTTTTCATTCATATAGGACAGTTTTCTAAGACCGACAATTCAAAATGGCTTCGAGAGAATGGAACGTGTAGGGTGTGGAGCCACGTGAACTAACGCTAGAGCATAATAAAGAACTGTACCAGATAACAGTAACAACATCAGTTAAGGATTTTCAGCAGCAGCAACAACTAAAATGGATATAACATGTAACTCGCAAAGAGGACAATGGCATAGTCAAGATGTTGACGTTCCATACTGACCAAAAGAAAAGGCAAGGGAGGAAACTCCTATCAGTATCAATAATAGCTACTGGACATTTCTCCTGATCTTTAAGAGAATGATTTTATAAATTTCAACCGAAGAGAAAATAATGATATAATCAAGATGTTACTTCAAACGAAAGGTTAAAAGGAAACCACATCAATACTGAAAAGAGCAATTAGTTTTAATTAGATTAGTTTTTAGAATGTTGTAAATATAAATTTATTCGTGTAAATAAACCATCTAATCAATAAATAAATGAATAGTCTTTTATATTTTGGTTATAAATTCTCAAGAAAAAATGTATAAATTCGCTTTCTAATGTTTCGGTTTTAGTAAAATTTTACTTACCGCCTTTTAAAGCAGTAAAAGTTGCCGAAGAGGAAAGGTAGTTAAAATAATAGCGGTGTCAAGGGAATACCGCCATTTTGACAATGATTTTTCGGGCATGAAGGTTCATGTTTTCTAAATGTTCTTTTCAACATAATCTGTAACATTTAATTTAATTTAACAATATTCAAAAGTATATTTGAATAAACATCACACGGAGGCACGGTGGATTGAGGAATCGGAGATCCGAGTTCGAATTCCAGTCGAATCCATTACATTCACTTACGTGCTAATACCCTTGGGAAAGGTGTGAATCCTCTTCTTCTCCCTCCAGCTATGGGTAAATAGCAGGACAGACTAGGTTCTATAGCCTTGGATGGCAACTGGTCTAGGAGAAGGAAAACTCTGAATTCAAAACCTGCGGAGGGTCGTTTGGAGACCTTGTGGCACGTAGTGCACCAGGTCTCTGTAATCGGCCCTTCAAAAAGTGTGGATGGTCCTGCACGAAACCTTCACCACTATAATCAAATCTCATGTGCTATCCATGCGGGTTTGGGGACCGCTTGTGAATTCCAAATTCCCATGAAACACCAATATTGAAGCCGGCTCAACCCACCTCGGGTGTATGCCGTTACAAGAACAAGAGAGAACACACGTTTATTATTCATTTTTAATAAGGATTCTAAAATTACTATGAAATAAGCAATGTTTTTGTTGAGACTTTTTACCTGTTTTGAGAGAAAGAATTTATATCTTCCTTGTCAAAATTCAGTTGTAAATTATCAGAAAACTACATTCATTTTAATCAATTCACCCCAAGCAAGGCGATAATGCTACTAAAACGCAAGGGGTTACTGGTAGTGAAAGAGGATGAAAAGACTTTAGAAGGAACTGAAAACTCAATCCTAAACAGGGAACAAGTGATAAACCTCTACTCCTGTTCAAAAGAAACGGGGAGGAGTGTGAACCGGACATTTAAAGAAAAGGGTAAAATAAATAACCTTGTTTTCTAGAAATAACATTTTTTTTTTTAATGAAGTTGAAATAAAGTAGATAAATTCTCAAAATCTTATAGAAATATATATATGGTTTAGGCTCGGCAACGATAGTTACGATCTTATTTTCTGCAGCATTCGTAATAACATTGTTGTCGTTTGACATTTTACTGACATTTTACGCTGTAACAATGCAGGAGAGTGGTACGAAGTCAAAATAATCTGTTTAGTTAGATTCTCTTAAAACTGTCCTAGATTATTAAAAAAAATGAAAAATAATAAGTTTGCTGAACTTACTTTTACTATAATTGTGCGTGTTTCTCGCTTCGTTAGTTCGCACGACCTTTACGCCCTGCCAATGTCTCATCAATAATGGACTATTCCAAAGACGCTACTTGATGTCAGTGAGAAAATAAAAGAAAGAAGGGAAGATAGAATTTTGTTTCAATGAAATAGAAAACGTTGTCAATTTCAAATCTTTTTATTTGTACCACCTTACTTCTTAAAATAATGACCATATTCATATTTATGATTGTTATTGCAATATTTTGTTAAAGTTGTTCTGCTCTCTATTAATCACCACAGAGAGCCTTCCCTTCCCTCCATTAGAATGTCTGACGCTCAACTTCTCGAGAGCAACTCTCTGCGGCTTCTCGGTCTCACGTTGACTGTTGACCTGAGATGGGATAAATACGTCGAGTCAATTGCCTCGTCCACTGCGAGGAAAGTTGGCTCCTGAGCCCGCGCTAGGAATTTTTTTCCCCTGAGTCGATCCTCAGATCTACAAATCCACAATTCGCCCTTGCATGGAGTATTGCTGCCATATATGGTCTGGCGCCCTTTCTGTTTGCCTCGGGGTTCTTGATAGGCTCCAGAGGCGGATATGCAATATGGTTGGCCCTGCCCTGGCGTCTCGTCTACAGTCACTTTCTCACAGACGCGCCGTCGCCTCTCTCTGTCTTTTTTACAAATACTTTCATGGCAATTGCTCCGAGGAGCTGCATTCGCTGGTTCCCAGACTTCATGAATTCAAGTGCCCTACGAGGCTGGCATCCCGCTCTCACCCCTTCACTGTCGAAACTCCTAAATGTAGCCGTCTCTTCTACTCTAATAGCTTCATGTCTCGCACCTCCCGCCTGTGGAACTCCCTTCCCTTCTCCTGTTTCCCTGTGAGCTATAATCTCCAGCTATTCAAATGTAATGTCAATCGAAATCTCCAGTTGCCTTAATCTATCCACTACCCTCATCCTTTCTTCTATCACTCCTATCTGATCTTGCTATTTCCTGTAACCCCTTGCATCCTAGTGGCTTCCCGCCTTGTTTGGGGTGAAACGCTTAAAAAAATACTCGCCATGAGTTTTAATTCTTCAGTTAATGATTGAATAAAATCATTAACTGAAGAATTAATCAGAAACTTCAAATCGGTAAAATTTCCACTGGTTAAAAGTCATACTACTACTAGTACTCCTTATTATTATTATTATTATTATTGTTAGAAGAAGAAGAAGAAGAAGAAGAAGAAGAAGATTATTGAAATGTTTCACTCACGATTAACACTATGTAACTCTGTCCAGAGTAGGTTGATTTTGTTTTATTTTGTTTGTTTAACGTCATATCAACTACTTATGGGCAATTTAATTTTCTTCGGAGCTTTGGTAATATTTTTGTTACTATTAAAATCTATGGCTGGTATTTTTACTTGCCCGTAGCTGGGTCCCTCTAACAGGTGCTACCACCCCGGCTTAGGATCGAACTTGGGAAGAATAGCAAATAAGCAGTGGTACTCCGCTTCTCAAATTCTCCCGATCAAGGTCCTTGCTGCCGCATGTCGTCCAAAGTCGGACATTCAAGCGAACTTAGCATAAAGATCTTTAGAAAATAGATATCTTTTATTTTTACACTGAGGGTCACCCTGTACAAGGCCAGTGGGCACTTGCTGAAAATATTGTTTATGGTGAAATTCTTATCGAGGAAAGAGAACTTGTATGGCAACTCTCTGTTCCTTGGACGGGTGTTCGACTAGACGCATTTTTTTAAAAAAAAAAGAAATGAAAAGAAAAAGAAAATTCAGTGAAGTGAAACGAGGCGAAAGATTTGAATGAGGTTATTCAGTGCATAATTTATAAAATATTTAGTCCCTTTCTTACGATTATTATATGGCAGTTGACCTTTCCTTCAAGGGTCATACTTTCCACGTTTGAATCTGAGGAATGTTTTTGGCGACACTTCTATTAATAATAAAAAAAATAAAAAAAAACATAATGCGCTTCTACTAAATATACTTTGAGTTCTAAGTATCGTCATCATCATCATCATCATAGGTCCCATGACCGGGTGTGGTCGTAGGGTGCCTACGCAAATGAGCACCTGGCCATTTTCCTCTACGATGCAGGGCCGATGCAAAAGTTTCGTGGGTCTCCACCGAATCTATTATACTGCCCTATCCACACACTCTACTACATCTCGATTTTCATAAGGTAGTATTCATATAAAACACAAATTTTCTTGTAACCTAATTATATACAATAATAGATCAGATGCGATATAGGTGAATAATTCAACTAGAAAAATCGAATAGAAACACAAAATACAAAATTACACACACACACATACACACATAGATACATATAAGACAATGAATGTCTATTATGTTTTATCATGAGCCTTTCCAAGCGTCGTATAATAGCTTTAGTTTCAAGAAAAAATAAAGACAAAAACTGCCCAATATTTCTTTATTATATTGGTCGTCGTTCTAAGCTTTCGGCTCACATGAGCCATCATCAGAGTGGACATTACAACAGAGATATTCACCGTCAAAGATGACATCCTGTTTTGTTTACATAGAGGTTTTCTATGCGGCGATAACGGTCGCAAAATAGCAGACGCGGGTCGTAAATTCGTAATACGGTTCTATGACGTCGTACATGACTACAAGAGAGGAAGAAATGTTATCAACAGAACCATATGTTTAAATGCATTGTAATGTGTTGTGACTAGTTTGAAATGTAATTTTGTTGAGTGTGGGTTGCTTTGTTTTAATGTAGATGATCTCCAATATCTGAAGTTTTTCTTACTGTGTATATGTGTGAGTATTATTGTGTTATCAACTAATATCTGTCTAATATTATGTACATGGTTATGTTTTTCTAAGAAATGTTGCTTAATAGAATTAATATCAGAAAGGTGACAGGTAAGTCTACGGGAGAGTGTAGTTGTAGCAAAACCAATGTAATGGATTTATCATTAGATGCAATATTCTGAATGGGCAGGTAAATTGAAACACTACATTTTTTTGTAGACGATTTCGTTGTGTGGCTGTCGGGTTACTGGAAACTATGAGGTCAATTGTTTAAAATTTTTTATAATATATCATGACGTTAACTTGTTTAATATAATTAATGGGTTTAACGTTTCTACCCATTATTATAAAAGTATATTTAGGCAGCAAATATACCTTATATATATATATATATATATATATATATATATATATGATCGAAATAAAAGTATAAAATTTAATATTACAAGACATATTAAACAATATTAAAAATAAAAAAAAAACAAGGGGGGATTGAGGCCCCCTGTTGTTGTGTTTTTTATTATTTAATATTGTTTAATATGTCTTGTAATGTTAAATTTTATACTTTTATTTCGATCATTAAATTTTGTACCTACAAAAAAATGTCTTTATATATATATATATATATATATATATATATAAAACATATTTTAATGCATACATTATACTACTAGCGATGGATGTCGCCAATAATCGCATTAATATTTCTGATTGATTTTATGTGTGATTATTTCTTTGTATGTAAATTATATGCTGCCTAATGTTTTATGTTTATAAAAAACTATCGATTCGCAGTACATAAAAATTCCTATAAAAAAACTACTACTAAGACATTACACTATATTATTGAACTATATACTTAGTTCATGACATAAAAACTGAATACACTTGTAAAAATAGAATACGTGGATTTATTACGCACACTGAGATAGACTGTTCTAGTCCCACGTGCCATGTTTTATTGGATGTCAATTATCAGTTATCTCCTGTTAATTCCCCTCTGAAAGTTCTCCACTGCCTTAACCAGGTATTGAACTCACACTTTTTGGGTCCTGTCACTGGAATATAACCAACGCCTTTATCTACTGTTCCATGTGTCCTTGAGTTTAATAATCCGAATTTCTTTAGTATTTTTGTTTTATTTTTAAGAAAACAGTGCTCAATACATAAGTAGAACCTATATTTTAATTATTAAAAAAATAAATATGATTCCATCGCCACATAAGAGTTTTTGAAACATGAGAACTCTTATGTAGCAATGGAACCATATTTAAAAAAAAAAATATAATATATATATATATATATATATATATATATATATATAGGAATATCTTCATCTGTCAGGAGATTAAGCGGCATTCACTGACATATATTACATAACAGTTCAACAATCTTTTATTTATTTCTAACGAAATTTTCTGTTTCTTAGTAATAATCGGTAGAGAAGTGAAGGACTGATATTCTCTTTTCGTCCATGGTATCCTCAACATGCTTCTGTAGAACCACATAATATACACGGAATAGGAAAAGGCCGGTTTATGGTGTCATGTCGTGGAGCCCAAAATGCAAATTACAGGTTGGCGATACTAAACTCAAGCAGGTACAGAAATTTAAATATTTGGGAAATGCTCTAACAGAGGACGGAAAGCGCGAGACTGAGATCCGAAGACGTATTTGGATGGCGAAAGATGCCTTCCAAAAGCTAAGCAGAGTAATAAGAGACAGGAAAATTTCGTTAGAAACAAAGAAAAGAATACTGAACTGTTACGTACTGTAGTGATTACTGGACAATTTCCTCAAAGATGAAGAAGAGACATGAAGCAACAGAAATGTCGTTATACAGAAGGATGCTGAGGATACCATGAACCCAACATACGAACAACGAAGTTTTGGAGAAAATGGAAACAAAAAGGAAACATATTTGACATCAGTTACAGGCAGTTGAAATTTCTGGGGTACGTAATGTGGAAGGAGGGCTTGGAAAATCTGATACTCACAGGATAGATGGGGGGGGAAAGGAAATAGAGGAAAGCCTTGCATAACATACTTGACGGGTTTGAGCAAATCGATGGCAGAGCAGGGTGTTGGGGGAAATAATAGAAAGAGAAAACTTATTAAGAGCTACAAGGAATAGGAAGATGTAGAGAGCCATGATTGCCTACGTCCTGAAGGGACACGGCACATAAAAGAAGAAGTCACGCTTCTCACCACCAATCTTTGTTTTGGTTTTTTCTTTCCTCTGTACTATCTACGCGACCCCCCCACTCTATCCGCTGATTGGTTACGGAGACCACTGCCAGTTTTAGTTGTGTCGTTTCCCCAGCCATTTTCAGTTCTTTCTTCCGCCATCTTTTTTTTTTGTTGTTATTTTTAGATGGTTTTTCCTAGACCTATCCTTAACGGCTTTTTGTTGTTGGCATTCATCCTGACTCTTCCTCTCCACGGCGCCAGCCACTTTCCCTTCATGCTGTCGCCGCAGCCACCTCCACCACCGCCTCCACCGCCATTGCCGCCCACACAAACGCAGCCCGCTCAGTTCCTTTGTAACTGTATACTGAAACTCTAATTACATAGTATATTTGCAGCGACATTTTTCGTTTTTTTTTGTTTTTGTTTTTTTTTTTTGTTTCTTGGAAACAGATCTTCCTTGCCCGCCTCACCATCTGTGGAAGGATTAGAAATTTTGCCCTACCAGAATACTAAGTTTCCGACAACATCGCTTTCAGCATCACTATGACACGCAAGCTTCTTCAGCATCACTTGTGACACGCAAAATTCTTCAGCATGGCAAAGTGACGATCGATGAAGAAGGAAACAAAACTCGGTTTTCATTAAGCATCTCAGAGTCCACAAACCAAACTGACTGCGACAAACAGAGCAAAACCATCAGCCTCGATCTCGTGGGATAGCCACGAGATTGGTAACCATCTCGGAAGGTTTTGGTAGCAGAAGTTGCCGTCTATATGATGACGTTGCAGAAATTGTTTCTGGAAACCAAATTTAAAGCACGTCCCAAAGATGTACATGTAGGACATCTCTATAGATGTATCTCAGTAGAGTTATGTGACATCAGCGTGACACACGCTTAGGCGATCATGTATCTTTCGATTTTTCCCGTAGTAGACCATTTACCAAGGCTATAGAATCCGGCCTGTCCTGTTATTTACCCATAGCTTTGAGGCGTGGAGAAGAAGGGGATTCATACCTTTTCCAAGGGTACTAGCGCTTAAGTGAATGTAAGGGATTCGACTGGAATTCGAACTCGGCTCTCCGATTCCTCAAACCGAGCTGCTATCCATTACACCACTTTCCCAATTTATGAAAGCGAACTTATGCATTTTCTTTTTTCTTAGACAATAATAAACATTGTTTTGAAGCCGATGTTTATGCTAGCACGAAGTTCTTCCTTTCATTATTTCTTTCTTTTTTTATTTTCTCTTTCGTTCCTTTTCTTTCCTTCTAGCTTTTTTGCGTTTTCCTTTTTTTCATTTAGTCTTTCTTTCTTTCTTTCTTTCTTTCTTTCTTTCTTTCATTCATTCATTCTTTCTCTTTTTTATTTTCTCTTTCGTTCCTTTTCTTTCCTTCTAGCTTTTTGCGTTTTCCTTCTTTTCATTTTGTCTTTCTTTCTTTCTTTCTTTTTTCTTTCTTTCTTTCTTTCTTTCTTTCTTTCTCTTTTTTATTTTCTCTTTCATTCGTTTTCTTTCCTTCTAGCTTTTTGCGTTTTCTTTCTTTTCATTTAGTCTTTCTTTCTTTCTTTCTTTCATTTTTTCTTTCTTTCTTTCTTTCTTTCTTTCATTCATTGCTTCTTTCTTTCTCGTTTTTATTTTCTCTTTCGTTCGATTTCTTTCCCTCTAGCTTTTTGTGTTTTCCTTCTTTTCATTTAGTCTTTCTTTCTTTATTTCTTTCTTTCTTTCATTCTTTCTTTCTTTCTTTCTTTCATTCATTCTTTCTTTCTTTCTCTTTTTTATTTTCTTTCGTTCGTTTTCTTTCCTTCTAGCTTTTTGCGTTTTCCTTCTTTCCATTGTCTTTCTTTCTTTCTTTCTTTCTTTCATTCATTCTTTCTTTCTCTTTTTTATTTTCTCTTTCGTTCCTTTTCTTTCCTTCAAGCTTTTTGCGTTTTCCTTCTTTCCATTTTGTCTTTCTTTCTTTCTTTCTTTCTTTCATTCATTCTTTCTTTCTCTTTTTATTTTCTTTCGTTCGTTTTCTTTCCTTCTAGCTTTTTGTGTTTTCCTTCTTTTCATTTAGTCTTTCTTTCTTTCTTTCTTTCTTTCTTTCTTTCTTTCTTTCTAAGAGAATTTATACATTTCCCAAGGTAGGTTGCCATTTCTTTCTGCGGTAGGCCAGTTGCCATCCAAGGCTATAGAACCCTGTCTGTCCTGCTACTTAACCATAACATTACTCTACCGTGCCCGCCAGATTTTTCTACGTGATTGTAATTTATTTACATATATTTACGTCTATATAAAATCCTGAGTATGACAGTAAACTAAATCCAGCATCAAAGTCACTGATCGTGAGATTGGAGGTTTTGAGTAGCGAGGAATCAATTGCTATTGTTCCTAGGTTCCCCGTGATCTGGGGTGGTAGCACCTGTTAGGATCCCAGCTATGGGCAAATAGCAAACCCTCAAACAAAGATAAATGTATATGAAAGTATATAAGAATACATTTTTATAGTAAAAATACCAGTTATAAAATTTTATATAAAAAATTACCAACAATACCTATTTATAGTAAAATGACAAACAATACATTTTTAAAGCAAAATGGCCAGCAATACATTTTATATTAGAATTAGCAATAATACATTTTATAACAGAGTTACTAACAATACATTTTATAACAGAGTGACTAACAATACATTTTATTTGTAGTTGAAGGCATGCAACTGCGTTCAAAATATATTTAGTTGCAGCCATAAAACTAGGTTCAAAACCTAGAGATTTTGACATTAAATAAACCATAATCGTTGAAACGCTGCTAAACGACCTGTCAAGAAACCAATCAACGTCTTATATAAGAGCACACCCACTCGAACAGAAGGTGGCACAAGGCTGAAATTAAGGTGAGAATAATGCCATTATACGACGCTTGGAAAGGCTCATGATAAAACATAATAGACATTCATTGTCTTATGTACATTCATGAGAATATGGACAAAAATACTAAAATACCATCGGAATTTCCCTTTTTAGGGACATTTCAAACGCCAGGGATTAACTCCAGACCTCTTCCCAAGGAGAGCTAATACATTAAGCGAGGTCCGTTCTAGGGGTCTTGTACATTATACAATGTGATTCTGGCTGGGCTAAGAAAGGTAAACAGTACGATCAGAGTGTAGTATCAGTTTAGCTTTCTGGCCGAAAAATCAGCATAATAATGTTAAGTTAGAACTAATTAGGAAAAGCGGGGGTGATAAGTATATGTGAAAGTTAAAATGAAGGAGGCGGTTAAAATCGGTGAAAGGCGAAAAGTGAATATATATATATATATATATATATATATATATATATATATATACACACACATATATATATATACACACACACACACACACACACACACACACACACACATATATATATATTCATACATGTTTCATTAAATAATATAGACAAGTGTTGTTTATTTATTTTATGTAAATTCTTTTCATAACGCCTGATAAGCTTAATAACATTATCATTAAACGAAGAAAGAAAATCACAATATTGATACATATTTTTTAATCCTATCTAAGCTTTCGGCTTACATAAACCATTATCAAAGATGTCAATTACTGTACAATATATTAAGCAATATACGGAGAAGACAGTGATGATAGTTTGCTATTGTTTACATGGATGATTTCCAAGCAACGATAAACATGTGCATATAAGACGCAAGAAGCGAAAATCGCACCACAGCTCACGAAGTCACACATGACCACGCTAGAGTGAATTGGAGAAGTATGAAGCATGGGAAGCAGTTGGTATAAACCAATGGCTTCTGTTACCAATTATATATATATATATATATATATATATATATATATATATATATATATATATATATATATATATATATATATATATATATATAATATATATTATATACATATATATATATATATATATATACATATATATATATAGACATATATATTATATATATATATATATATATATATATATATATATATATATATATTGACATATATATTATATATATATATATATATATATATATAAATGGAAAAAAGAAAGAAAGAAAGAGGAGGAGGGGCGACAGACATAGAGAGACAAACTTGTCTTTCGATATTAGATAAAAAATAAAATACTGAAATTAAGTATGGTTCAAAAGTAAGATTGGAAAGGATAAAGGAGAGAATGAGAAGATTCAGGCAATGAAGATCGGAAGGGATAAGGGAGAGAATGAGAAGATACAGGCAAAAGGTGAGAGAATTGTAGATGCATGGGGTAATGGACAATTTTCGTTGTTAACACTGGGCTTTTCACGAGTACCGCTTAGTTATTATTCGATTATCTTTCTTTCTTTTCCAATAATCCTTCTCTTTTTCTTTTTGTCACTCTACCCCTCTTTCAACTACATTCTTTCTCACATTCCATCGCTTTCCGCATTATCTTTCTTTCTTTTTTTTTTCTTTTTAATTCTCCTTCTCTTTTATCCTTTGTCAGTCTCTGTCTCTCTTTTTCTCCTCGCTTTCTCGCTTTATCTTTCTTTCTTCCTTTCTTTCTTTCTTTCTTTATTTCTGTTTTTTTAATTCTCCTTCTCGTTTGCACTTTGTCAAACTCTCTCTCTCTTTATCCTATATTAATTCTCACTTTCTATCCCTTTTCCGCTTTCTCTTTCTTTCTTTTTATTTTCTTTCTTTCTTTCTTTCTTTCTTTCTTTCTTTCTGTCTTTCTTTCTATCTGTCTTTCTTTCTTTCTTTCTTTCTGTTTTTTTAATTCTCCTTTTTGTTTGCATTTGTCAACCTCTCTCTCTCTCTCTCTTTATTCTTTCTTTCTTTCTTTCTTTCTTTCTTTCTCCCAGAGACGGGAAAGAGAGGGGTAACTTAAATTAAATTTTATTTATTTTAGAATTTCTCTAAACTTTTTCAGCTTTTCTCCAATTTCATCTTCTGATTCTAAATGTCGAAGATATTTATTCATGAACTGATTTCGTGACAATAATTCAAGACTTATCATTTCCATGTTTAGAAAGAAAAAAGAAGTTACCTTTTTCGTCGGCTGTTAGTGTTCCTTGTTCTTTTCTAAGAGAACTAAAGATCTGTTCTATTTACAGATGTCAAAATATCTGAGACTCAATTCTATCCATTTACATCGTGAAGAACAACGCCATTCCATTTTGGCGAAGTAAATGATTCCTCCTTGTTTATTATACCGACAGAGTCTGAGACTTTCAACTTTGAGTCATATCACATTTCCTTTAACTCTTATTACGCGATAATATCTTGAAATGTAAACATTCGTATTACGCGATAGTGTCTGAAAACGTAAAAGAAATGCTAAAACAAAGGAATACTGGTCACAGAAATTAAACAAATATATATTAAAAGGAATCATGAGAGAGAAAAGCTAAAAAGACAAGTAAAGAAGAAGTAGACAAAAATCGAAAAGCCCATAAATGGAGAGAGCGAAAAGAAAGATCGAAAAAAAAAAAACGAACGGAAGAAAAGTAAATAAAACAAAGAAAGAAAGAAAGAAAAAAAAAAAAGAGAACGGAAAGAAAATAAATAAAACAAAGAAAGAAGGAAGGAAGAAAGAAAGAAAGAATAAAAGAAAGAAAGAAAGAAAGAAAAAAAGACGTAAAATGGAAGGAAAAGACAAAAAGGTAGAAAGAAAGAAAATTAAAGAAAGAGAAAATAAAAAAGAAGAAAAACGAAAGAAAAAAATAAAACTGGAAAGAAAGAAAGAAAGAAAGAAAGAGAAAAAATGAAAGGAAGGCAGAAAGTATGATAAAATAAAAAGGAAGAAAAGGCAGAACGCTAGAAAGAAAGAAAACGAAAGAAAGAGAAAATAAAAATCGAGAAGAAAAAAAGAAAAGAAAAAGAAAATAAAACTAGAAGGAATGAAAAGTAAAGAAAAACTGGAACAAAGAAAGAAAAAAGAAAAGTAAAAAAACTGGAAAGAAAGAAAAAATGAAAGAAAGGCAGAAGGATTGATAAAATAAAAAGGAAGAAAAGGCAGAACGCTAGAAAGAAAGAAAACGAAAGAAAGAGAAAATAAAAATCGAGAAGAAAGAAAGAAAGAAAGAAAAAAAGAAAGAAAAGTAAATAAAACTGGAAAGAAAGAAAGAAAGAAAGAAAAAAAGAAAGAAAGAAAAAATGAAAGAAAGGCAGAAGGATTGATAAAATAAAAAGGATAAAAAGGCAAAATCTAAAAAAAACGAATGTGAACGATAGAAAGTGAAAGAAAAAAAGGAAAAAAGAAAGAAAAGTAAATAAAACTAGGAGAGAAAGAAAGAAATAAGGAAAGGTAGAAAGATTAAATGATAAAGAGGAAAATCAAAAAGCGGGAATGTGAACGACAGAAAAAAATGAGAGAAATGAAAGCAAATAAAATGGGAGATAAATAAGGAAAAGAAAGAAAAAGCGAGAGAAAATTAGAAACAAAGAAAGATGAAGAGAGAGAAATTAAGGTAGAAAAATGGAAAGAGAGATAAAGAGGAGAAAAGAAATAGAGAAAAAAAAGAGAGAAAAAAAGAAGAAAACGGAGCAAATCTGTAAAAAAACAACAAAGAAAACGAAAATAAGAAGCTCCAAAATCTACGCCAGAAATAAAGCAAATTTCTAACAGAAAATGCGTTTCCTCGTTAATCTGAATTTAGTTGAGAACGAGGCAACTATTGGGAAGACCCAGTGAGAATCGAACTCTCGACAGGAGATTGCAAAATAAGTGTCTTTATATGAATGCGAAAAAGATTTGCGTTCTAATAGTTAGATAAAAATGTTATCTGCCCAAAACCAAAAACTGACCAGGAAAATAAAAATAAGATACTCTTGAACGATAATATCCAAACGGATCACCACCATCTCCATCTCCACCTAAGCCAGAAAAAAAAAATGGCTATACAAGCGACTACAGATTTCTAGAAATTCCTTTTCTTTATAATCTGTGCGTTTTCTTGAATTTTGCTGGAAAATAATGAAGTCGTTTCCCGCTGTTTTCTCCACGGTCTAGATTTCAAAGTTTTCTTTCTTTTACACTGGTCGCCAGTCAAGGTTGGAAAGCCCAGTCTACGCTGGAGGTTGACTCATAAGCAATTCCTGTTCTTGGAAACTATTTGTAATATTTTGAAGTATAAAGTTGATATAAAAAAAAGATATTATTTATGACTAATACATAAAACAAACTAATATGTAAATCATAGCTGAGGGAAGAAAAAAAAAAGACATTCGTGTCTTTCACCGTAAACAATGATAAAAGGCCATTCCCTTTCTTTCTATCTATCTATCTATCTATCTATCTATCTATCTATCTCGGTCTGCTCGTATCTATCTATCTATCTATCTATCTATCTATCTATCTATATCTCTTCAGTATCTATCTATCTATCTATCTATCTATCTCAGTTTGTTCATTCGATGTCTCAGCCTGTTTCTATCTATCTATCTATCTATCTATCTATCTAATTTTGTTCATTCGATGTCTCAGCCGGTTTCTTTCTCTCTCTCTCTCTCTCTCTCTCTCTCTCTCTATCTATCTATCTATCTCACTTTAGTAATGTGTATCTATGGAGGTAGCAAGCTATGTAGCTATCTCAGCCAGTTTCTATCTATCTATCTATCTATCTATCTATCTATCTATCTATCTATCTAGGCTATCTAAGGCCGATGCATACTACCCTCAGCCCCCGACCCCGGCTATGGAGAGGCAAACCTTATTGGGGGCCCCGATCAGTGATTTGTGACCCTCGCTATTTTATCAACATTTGCTTTGTCTAACTACATTTATCTATGTTACAAATTTAACTAAGCAGAACTGATTATTAAAGGATAAAAAATTTTCGTGGATTTTGACGTCACTCTGAGATCTTTTTTTTTTTTCGTCCAAATCCGTGAATTTGTTTTGCTTATGCTAAGTCTCGGAAAAAAACAGCATATAAAGTTCACCATTTTTTATCCATAATGTTGAATGTGTTCAAATTATTCAACTTTTTAACAAGAAAAAATCTCAAGTTGATGTTAAAAGCATTATTGATTTATTTAATTTGTATTTAGAATTTAGATACATTGTTTTTATTTTAAATTTTGAATTGTTCATCTCGATTGCACATGATCCATTATTGTACATAATTAGGTTACAATAAAATTTGTATTTACTATACATACTACCTTATGAAAAATTACGTATATTTAGATTGGAGGCACGTATCAAAGATTCAAAGGGGCATACTATAGCTCTATCTGCTGATCTCAGTTTGTTCATGTCTGTCTGTCTGTCTATCTATCTATCTATCTATCTAAGTTTATTCATGCATATGTATTTAGGTAGCTATCTAATTTGTTGGTAATAAAAGTGTACCACATTTATTACCACCAGCACTCATTCTGTAATATTTATTTATATATATATATATATATATATATATATATATATATATATATATATATATATATATATATATATATATATATATACAGAGTGTCCATAAATTTAAAAGAGACAGTCAGTCAGTTTCAATAAAACGTTAAAAAATATAGATTCACTTCTTTCTAATCCGTTTCGCAAATTATTTCTATCGCAAATACAAATAAAGTTATAAATTTTTTAAAGTGCACACGAACTTTATGGACACCCTGTATATATATATGTATATATATGAAGAAAAATATACGGAAAAAAACAAACAAAAATCCTTATATACAATTATGCTGTTTTAATGTTAATATGTCAACGTCGGACGTTTCGGTCTAATAAACCATCTTCAGGACATATTCATAAAATATAATTTATATTTTTTATATATATATATATATATATATATATATATATATATATATATATATATATATACAGAGTGTCCATAAAGTTCGTGTGCACTTTACAAAATTATAACTTTATTTGTATTTGCAATAGAAATAATCTGTAAAAAATGTTATAAAGTTTAATGTACCTCATTTTAAGTATATATTGAATAATTCTTTACCACAAAATTTGCCACAATTTTTAGATAAGTAAAAAATATTTTCTTTTTTCCAGAATCCATTTGATCCATGGCTTCAACTCGGGAAAAAGTAAACTGTGTCCTTTGGTTGGCTGAACTGAAATCTACTGTTGCTGTACAAAGAAAGTTTAGAATTGAATACAATAAAAAAAAACACCTTATCGGAACACTATTGCTAAATGGATGAAAAAATTTAAAGAGACAGTCTCTGTCCATGATAAGCCACGGTCTGGATGGCCATGTATCAGCGACGAAAGTGTTGCATCCATAAACGCAATTAAAATTTCAATAAAACGTTAAAAAATATAAATTCACTTCTTTCTAATCCGTTTCGCAAATTATTTCTATCGCAAATACAAATAAAGTTATAAATTTTTTAAAGTGCACACGAACTTTATGGACACCCTGTATATATATATATATATATATATGAAGAAAAATATACGGAAAAAAACAAACAAAAATCCTTATATACAATTATGCTGTTTTAATGTTAATATGTCAACGTCGGACGTTTCGGTCTAATAAACCATCTTCAGGACATATTCATAAATTATAACATTATCGATACAACATGACAAAGACGATGTACATAAGAACAAGACTTATCCAAACAGATAACTGAAAGTTTTATTAGACCAAAACGTCCGACGTTGACATATTAACATTAAAACAGCATAATTGTATATAAGGATTTTTGTTTGTTTTTTCCGTATATTTTTCTTCATACTGTCGGATCTATATCCATATATTTGCTTGCATGTATATATATATATATATATATATATGAAGAAAAATTTGGAAAAAACAAACAAAAATCCTTAAATGCAATTATTTTGTTTAAAATGAATGAAATGTCGACGTCTGACGTTTCGGTTTAATAAACCTTCTTCAGGACAATATTCATTAAAATACAATTCAGTTTAATTTGACAAAGACGATGGACATAAAAAACAAGTCTTATCCAAAACAGATAACTTAAAATTTTTAAAATGATCAGCTTTCCGTTTAAGCATGGTCACGTTGTCGTCATATGGGCGACGCTTTCAAAACAATATTCTAAAAGTTTTGATTATTTTGAATGAAAAAGAAAATGAAAAGAATTCTATTAGGATCTAAAATTTTTATGTGTATGCTTGTCGAGCATTAATCTCGCTAAAAAAGGGGAAATTTTAAAGAAACCCATGTGACGACAACGTGACCATGCTTAAACGGAAAGCTGATCATTTTAAAAATTTTCAGTTATCTGTTTTGGATAAGACTTGTTTTTTTTATGTCCATCGTCTTTGTCAAATTGAACTGAATTGTATTTTAATGAATATTGTCCTGAAGAAGGTTTATTAAACCGAAACGTCAGACGTCGACATTTCATTCATTTTAAACAACATAATTGCATTTAAGGATTTTTGTTTGTTTTTTCCGTATATTTTTCTTCATACTGTCGGATCTATATCCATATATTTGCTTGCATGTATATATATATATATATATATATATATATATATATATATATATATATATATCAATTAATTTTTCTAAAAAGTTAGCATAATATGAAATATGCCTCAAGCTTAATAAAAACAACTTTTATCGTCTAAATCTTTAAACTATAATTATTAAGAGGAAAGACCGAAGGAATTTTTTCATTATTAAATTATATTTTTTATCCTGTTTAGCAAGTTCAAAATTTTTGATAAAAATCTCGTTTTTTTTTTCGTTTTCCGTCGTGGTCGTGGCGCAATGTTAATATAGGAAATTTTAGCGTCATTCTTGCAGTAAAAAACACATTGATTTGGACATTCTTGCAAAAATCTATTGTCATTCTCCATTGTAACTTTCAGAACTTATTCATAAATGAATGCAATTTTTTCGAAATTATATATTTTTAAAATCTTGGTAATTTCATTCTACGTTTGTTACCCTTCACTTATTTAATTCTATGAAATTTGGGGAAATTTAATTTTACGCCATTTAATGTTTATATTGGTTTAAATCAGGATTTCTTGGAGAATTTAAATCATCAATTTTTTTTTTTTTTTTTTTTTGTAAAACAGGAACAACATTTACCGAAAATCTGCTCTGAATCGTACAACAAATAAAAATGCAAATAAAACTAAGCCATTATTTAATTAGAAAATCTTTTGATTGCAGTTTATGGACAAAATATATTATAGGACACTATATTGTCTTAAGAAAAAAAATTTCTATGAATAATGAATTTTTACAAGAATAATTTTCATTTCTTAAAAATTTTAATTAGAATAATTTATAAAGTTTTAAATATTTTAAATTTTTGCATTACTTTGTGCAGGTTAGCTTGGAAAAAATATTTCCTAAGTAACAGTCTAACTCTATGCTCTCAGGCGAAGAGGAACCCGGACGAGGCTCCGCCGAAGGGCAGAGTCTCGTTCGGGGTGGTTGACTGCCCCTGAAACCGCTTATGCGGTTTCAAAGAGGGAATATTTTTGGCCTAGCCTACGGGCTCGGAAATCCCACGTTAAAACCGGCCTTGTGCCCTATGTAACCCTTGTGGGGGGTAGCTAAATATCACTTTGTGCAGGTTAGCTGATATTGTTATTAAGTAAGAACTATATTTACTAATCGTAAATGGAAAACCTTACTACAAGTCATCGAACACCAATATTCTAAAAAGAATTTTTAATTTTTTTTATGTGTATATATTTTGTATACATAACATTAAAAGAAATATACGAGCGATAACTATAGTTAATTTAAAGGCAACGTAGCAAAAATTCAATAAAACACATTACGGAGAATATTTTAAAAAAATTTAAATATTACTGGATAGTTAAAAATTATATAAAAAACGGGCTCAGATACACCCACAGTAGACAAAAATGAGATAAATTTCCGTCTGTCATTCAAGCTGTCAACACCGAAAATAAACAGCTACTACATTTTAAAAAAATGCATTTCTGCGAGAATTTAAACTTAAAATAAGGAATATTTGCTTCAGATCAGAGTAATTAACCTTTAAATCGACTAATATTCCTTAAATCGACTAATATATAATATTAAATTTTCATAAAATATATTTTATTTTTGAAAGATTTTTAATAAAGAGAATTACATTGCAAACAGCGAAAATTATCGATTTCAAAATGGAAACTTCTTCCAGGTAATTCATTAATTTGAAATTAAAACTAAAATAGAAGCTTCAAGAAAGATTTTTCATTTTTTAAAATTCATTTTTAACCTTAGGTATCGCAAATCTGTGGAGGTACCTATATATATATATATATATATATATATATATATATATTAACTGATTTAAAAATATGGTTTCTTCGCTACACAGGAATTACCATGTTTATAAAAACCGAAGCTAAAATCTTCAACTTAAATTAAACAATTAAAATTAAAAGCGTTAGTTCTCTTTCATCTTCAAGCGAATTTTGGAATAACTTATTTTTAAATTTACTGAGTTTTAAATGCACATACAATTCATAATTTTTGGTTTCCAAGGATACAGAGAAATCCAATCATTTAGACAGGGGCGGTAGCGTGTTCATCTTTATTAACTATTGTTGTATCAATTATGAGTTACGTTCGAAAAAAGAAGTTACGTCTAGGTAGTGTAGGGGTGCATTTTTCAACGAATTTTGACATCCGTCTAACGCATGTCGTCTGTTTTTTTGTTTGGTTTTATCAATGACAAAAAGTTTTTCAGTATTTTTCCGTTATATATATATATATATATATATATATATATATATATATATATATATATATATATATATATATATATATATATATATATGTCTGTTTTTATATATATATATATATATATATGTTTATTTTATATATATATATATTCTTGTTTTATGTATATATATATATATATTTGTTATATATATATATATATATATATGTTTGTTTTATATATAAATATATATATGTTTTTATTTTATATATATATATGTTTTTTTTATATATATATATATATATATATATATATATATATTTGTTTTATATATAGATATATGTTTGTCTTATATATATGTATATATATATATATTTTGTTATATATATATATATATATGTTTGTTTTGATACCAATAAACTTGTCAGTAATTACGAGAGGATCCTATCAAAAACAAGTAAACAAAACTTGTCTAAATTATTTAATGAGACATGCCATAATATATCATAAATCATGTCATAAATATATATATATATATATATATATATATATATATATATATATACATACATACATACACACACATATATATATATATATATATATATACTTATTTATGTATGTGTGTGTGCGCGCGCGTGTGTAGAAATCCACAGACAGACTGTTTTGCTGTATCACAGCTCATCAGTGTGGTTAGACGTTCGGTTGTCTCTGGTTAGGATCGAAAACCAGGCTGAATTGGCGTCAGTCGTAGATTTTACCTCTAAGCCATTGTCGCACAGCAGGAATGAAGGTGAATTTAAGCGTACTTATTTTTAGATAAACACACAGTGAGAAAACTTGATTCGCTGTACCGAAGAGTCTTGCATTGTAAGCAGTATTAGTCACTGTTTACAAACTCACACTTCCTCCCCAGAGAGCTCAACCAATATATATATATATATATATATATATATATATATATATATATAGTCAAGGCCTATGTATCTGTACATATTGTCTCTCTTCCTGTCTAGTGTATCAATATCTATCTATCTATCTATCTATCTATCTCTCTTCATGCCTATCTATCTATCTATCTATCTATCTATCTATCCAGATAGATAGATATGTTAATTTGATCGTTATCTATCTTAATTTGATCCCATGTCTCTATCTATCTTAATTTGATTCTATCTATATATCTTAATTGGATCATATATATATGTATCTATCCTAATTTGATCACATCTATCTATCTATCTATCTATCTATCTATCTATCTATCTATCTATCTTAATTTGATCATATCTATCTATCTATCTATCTATCTATCTATCTATCTATCTCAGTTTGTTTATCATAATCTATCTATCTATCTATCTTAATTTGATCATATCTATCTATGTATCTATCTATCTTAATTTGATCATATCTATCTATCCATCTATCTATCTATCTATATACATATCTTAATTTGATCATATCTATCTATCTATCTATCGATCTATATACATATTTTAATTTGATCATATCTATCTTAATCTGAATTTATCTATCTTGGCATGTTCGTTTTTGTTTTAAATCACTTTTCCTTTCATATTTCTCACTAATAATATCAGCCTTAATCAATTCATATTTCAATATTAAAAACATTCAGTGTGGTATTGTATTTTAGTTTTATCTGCATTTTCATATCTGTGATTATTTAGAATTCTCACTTCAACTAAATGAGAAAGAATTTCATTTTTATCTCTAAATATATTCGCCAAAAATGAACCTAAACTTTTGCACACGAATATCTAGGAAAAGTGGAAAACACCATACCTTGACACCCCCGAAAACATTTTCATTCATTGCCTTATTCATAACGGAATTGATGAAGTGCCTGTGTCCGGTGGCTTCCACGAAATAAAACTGTTTACAAAATTAATAATTTTTTTACACCCAATAACCCAGTCACTTGTCTATTTAATGAATTCATTTATTTATATGTCAACTGTTTTCTACTTAATATGCATGACGTCATGGAAGATATTAATGGTTTCATTTCAAGTTGTAGTCACATCAAAAGCTCGTTTTAATGGCAATTGTTTTAAACGCATAAATTTCAAGTGATTTGATGTACTGACTGCACTTTTGCAGAGACTACAAACTTATTGATGTACCTAATGAGGACAAAAAGAAAGCATTTATTTTGCACAGTAAATATTTATTTTTCGACGCCGAGAGAACGAAAGAAAGAGAGAGAGAGGGGGGGATAGAAAGAAATAGCGAGAGAGAGAGAAAGATAGATAGATAGAGTAATAGAGAGTGAAAGAGAAATAGAGAGAAAGGAATATATAGAGATAAAGATAGAGAGAAAGAGAAATAGAGAAAGAAAGAGAGAGAGAAAGAGAAAGAGAGGGAAAGAAAGAAAGAGAGAGAGAAAGAAAGAGTGAGAAAGATGCAGAAAGAGAGATTAAACAGGTTAAAGATTAGGATAATGGATAGCGGCTCGGATTGAGGAATCGGAGAGCCGAGTTCGAATTCCAGTTACGTGCTAATACCCTTGGGAAAGGTATGAATCCTCTTCTTCTCTTCCCACCCAGCTAGGGGCAAACAGCAGGACAGACCGTGTTCTATAGCCTTGGATGGCAACTGGTCTACCGGAGAAAGAAATAGCAACGTACCTCGTCAGTCATGTATCGAAAGATACATGATCGCATGGCACATAACAGACTGATCCGTAAAAGATTTAGATAAAAACAAACATGGGTGGATTAACAAAGAATTGACGTGATAAGGGAGAGATTAAGAACATAAAAGTAATGAAGATTGGAAAGGATAAGGAAGAGAACAAGAAGATACAGATAATAAAGATTGGGATTTATAAAGACGAGAATGACAAGATACATTAACTGATTCTTTTTTTACGGCTTATCACCCCATTGCCGGTTATTTAAAAGCAGAAAATATTTTTAGATTGTCAAAATTTTTTTTTAGATAATAATGGTTTAGTGATGAAAGTCTTACTAATTAACCCATAGCTGGAGGAAGAAGAGGTAGATTCATACCTTTCCCTAGAGTAGTTACACGTAAACAACGAACTCCTTGGGAATTGGAACTTGGCTCACCGACTAACAATTCCTAGCCATTATCCATTACACAACCCGCACATCCAACCTTATAGTACCTGATATTTCCAACTGGTCACTCATCTAGGTACTAACCAGGTTCGACGTTGCTTAACTTCGGTGATCATACGGGAACCGGTGTTTCAATGTAATGTGGGCATAAGCATGAGAAGATGCAGGTGATGAAGATTGGAAGGGAGAGAATGAGAAGGTGAAAGTGATGAAGATTGGAAGGGATAAGGGAGATAATGAGAAGATACAGGTAATGAAGATTGGAAGGGAGAGAATGAGAAGATACAGGTGTTGAAGATTGGAAGGGATAAGGGAGAGAATGAGAAGATGCAGGTAATGAAGATTGGTAGGGATAAGGGAGATAATGAGAAGATACAGGTGATGAAGGTTGGAAGGGATAAGGGAGAGAATGAGAAGATGCAGGTAATGAAGATTGGAAGGCATAAGGTAGTGAATGAGAAGATGCAGGTGATGAAGATTGGAAGGGATAAGGGAGAGAATGAGAAGATGCAGGTAATGAAGATTGGAAGGCATAAGGGAGAGAATGAGAAGATGCAGGTGATGAAGATTGGATAAGGGGAGAGGATAAGGAAGAGAGGGATGAGAAGATAAGATGCAGGTGATGAAGATTGGAAGGATAAGGGAGAGAATGAGAAGATGCAGGTAATGAAGATTGGAAGGGATAAGGGAGATAATGAGAAGATACAGGTAATGAAGATTGGTAGGGAAAAGGGAGAGAATGAGAAGATACAAGTGATGAAGATTGGAAGGGATAAGGGAGAGAATGAGAAGATACAGGTAATGAAGATTGGAAGGGATAAGGGAGATAATGAGAAGATACAGGTAATGAAGATTGGTAGGGAAAAGGGAGAAAATGAGAAGATACAGGTAATGAAGATTGGAAGGCATAAGGTAGTGAATGAGAAGATGCAGGTGATAAAGTTTGGAAGGGATAAGAAAGAAAATGCGAAGATACAGTTGATGATTATTGAAATGGATAAGGTAGGGAATGAGAAGATACATGTGACGATGTTTAGGAGGGATAAAGGAAAGAATTGGAAGATTGTTTTTCCCGTTCGTTTTTATTCTCGTTTTAACTTTTTCTTTCTCTCTTTTCTTCTCTTTTTGTCTTTTACAGAAGCTACAAATTTATTGATATAGCAAACGATGAAAAATATAAAGCATTTATTCGACACAGTGTATGTTTATTTTTCGACACCATCCCATCCATTGTTAATGCACTTAATTCAATAGTAAATCTTAATCACATCGATCTAGCATTACTCAGTGAACGTTTCAGATTACAATTAAATTTCTATGTGTTGGGACACGGATTTATTGATTCATTCTGGTAATTGATTGTATCCGATTTCTTCAATATCCACAGAGTCTTTTGTTTAAACTGCAACTCTGCTGAGCGGACACTTGTTACAATTTCTGAAAGGGAGGGCGTAAGATAGCGTGGTCAACTGTTTTTGTTAAGAAGCCAGTGAATTTCAAACCCTAATATAAAATAGACATCACAAGTTTATTAACTACTAGCAGTAGAGCACGGCGTTGCCCGGAGATGTAACAGTAAGAGATAGATCAAGTATCGACCATCATAAAGACTGAAAAATAAAATTGACAAAGATTATTGTTTAAGGTTGACGGACACGCATGTCTTAATTAGTTTTTTTTTTTGTTTTGTTTTTTTTTTTTACAAATTGGTCAAACCTAGACTCAAACGAAAACATTGTTTTCAATCGTCATGAGTCTACCGATTGAGTAGAATTTTATTCTAAACAATTGTCTTGTAAATGGAATTTTTAAAGCATTCTGAATGTAAAAATAAAGAAAAAAGTGTGCAAGACAATAAGAAACACTACCTGCCAAAAAAAAGTGAAGTTTTGTTGAAATCGGTTGAAAAATGTAGGAAATCCGATCCCATATATAAACGAACACACACACACACACACACACACTACCTGGGTTTTATAATAAGTATAACTCGATATGAGTTGTCTCCCTTTCATTAGTGCCTCTTAATCGTGTTTTCAAATTGATTTCATGCAAAAACAATTGTGTTTTTCCCATTTTTGGCGCTGTCAGAACCACTGCCAGGTAATTTTATGTAGTCCCGTGAAGTTTTGTTGAAATCGGTTGAAAAATGTAGGAAATACGATCCCATATATAAACGTACACACACACACACACACACAATCTGCGTTTTATAATAACTAAGATTATCTCTCTTTCTAGAGAGTGCCCCACTAAAATAAATAAATAAAATAACAGGAAATTTTCGATTCATTATATACTGAAAAAAAAAACTAACAAAATTTAACTATATGAATGAAGTAAAGCAATAACTAACATAGATTTTTTAACTATTGTGACTTTCCAAGCGTAGCTTAAATGTGGGACAAAGACGAAATTATGGGGCACACAGTGAGGATCGAACTCACTACTCAGTCGTAATTGTTCTAGCGAGAGAAGCTAGCTAAACACGGCCTCGAGGTGCCCTAGATTTTTTTTTTTAACCATTTGTACGTTTCTGGATGCCGCAGTTATCAAATTTGCAAGGGCGAGTTGATTGTTCTCTTTAAGAAAGAACATCCAACTTGGGGACGGAAAAAAGGCCAAGACATTTTGCCAGAGTTCTTTAGTTTGAACGCCACATCTAACATTTGTGTTTTTCTTCTGTTTTAAGCTACGAAATTTCTATTCTTTGCTTTTGTTTCAATTAACTGTAACAAAAATTCCAACAATTAAATAAACTGTACCAAATTTCATGGTTTTATTTTATTTTATTTTTTGTGGGACAAAATGCATTTTAAATTTTAGAAATTAAATAAAAATAAAAATTTTAAATTTTATCTAAAAAATAAATTATATATTTTACTATATGAATGAACTAAAAAAATTAACTAACATATAAAAAAATAAATATATATATTTTACTATATGAATGAACTAAAAATATTAACTAACATATAAAAAGTTAAATATATATATTTTATTATATGAATGAACTAAAAATATTAACTAACATATAAAAAGTTAAATATATATATTTTATTATATGAATGAACTAAAATATTAACTAACATATAAAAAAGTTAAATATATATTTTTATTATATGAATGAACTAAAAATATTAACTAACATATAAAAAGTTAAATATATATATTTTATTATATGAATGAACTAAAAATATTAACTAACATATATAAATATATACATTTTAAATGAATGAACTAAAAAATTAATATATAAAAATTTTATATATTTTATTATATGAATGAACTAAAAATATTAACTAACATATAAAAAAGTTAAATATATATTTTTTATTATATGAATGAACTAAAATATTAACTAACATATAAAAAGTTAAATATATATATTTTACTATATGAATGAACTAAAAATATTAACTAACATATAAAAAGTTAAATATATATATTTTATTATATGAATGAACTAAAAAAATAAATAACATATACATTTTTTTAACCATTTGTTTTTCCCGGATGCCGCAGATATCAAATTTTCAAAGGCGTGTTGATTGTTCTCTTTAAGGAAGAACATCCAACTTGGTAACTGAAAAAATGCCAAGAAATTTTAGTTATTTAGTTTGGACACGACATCAAACATTTCTGCTTTTTGTTTTTCTGTTTTAAGCTACGAAATTTCTATTCTTTGCTTTTGTTTCAATTAACTGTAACAAAAATTCCAACAATCAAATAAACAGTACCAAATTTCGTGTTTTTTTTTCTAGAGCACCCTTAGAGGCGATGGCAGTTTTCATTTTAACTTTTTCCTTAAATTAATCTGGAACGTCAAAATCTTTATTATATCATTTACTCTTCTAGTTACATGTGACACCTATTTTGGCTGCAGTTACTGTTAAATGTGTTGAAGTGATTTTTTCCCTTAATTGGTAAAGCTCGTTGTCATTCTCTAGCGTCAGTCTAAAGGGTCTGATGACATCCACTAACTGTTATAACTCTTTCTAGTATTGGACGGGAGTTTCCTTCCAAGCCTTTTGTTTAAGTTAATGTAGAAAGTCAACATCTCGATTATATCATTATTGCTTCTCCAGGCCTATGTTCTCCATCATGAAGGCTCGCCTTGTTCATGAATATGTGGCCGTGAATTTCCATTGGCGGAACCTTGGTGTTGGCGAATGACTTCATTTTTGGAAGTGCCTCACCAAGCGATGCCGATTGCTAGATTGTCACTGACCCTGCAAGGATGTTCATTCGCCTTTGGCATTTAAACTTGCTGGGAGTCTAGTCATTCTTTTCACTAGAAAAGCCCGATGGAGGAACCAGTTTAATCATCGATGACATGAACACGCGGCAGATTATACAGAGTTACATGGGTTAGTGCCAGTCTAGAGTGACTGATGATGTTTACTAACTGTTATAGCTCTTTCTGATCGGATTTTTATTTCCAAACTTTTTGTTTGACGAAGTCTCAGTTTATTGCTTCGTATTAATATTAAACGGACCCGCCATTTTTTTTTATATCTCTCTCTGTTTATCAAGTGTTTATATTTATTACTTAATAATAATGGATTAATTATTTTTGAATTTGTTTTAATATTATGAAGGACAGAATCAGTTTTGAATGTTGACGAGATCTGGACAACCTTCATCATTTTCCCTAAGAGAAGATGCCAAAAATATGTAGAAAAATAAAGAGATTAGCTTATCTTATTTTAAGGTGAAATCTGAAAAAAATACAGAGAAATTAGCTGAGCCGTGAATTGGTGAGTAAGATGCTGTTGGTGCCTCGTCTTTCAACGAGACAGTTCACTGTTGACGACAGGCAAGGCTATATAATTCCGTGTGTTACGAGATTTGCCATGCAGCATCAACTGACAATCTCAGATTTCAGGGCGTTTTTCTTTTAACATTCTGTAGCTTTCTTATGTACACCAATGAGTAAATGGCAAGGTAGGAGTCCTTTTTTTTTATTGTAGATTTGAAGGATATGGAAAAAGAAATGGCTGATGCTAACCCCCAGAAAAGTGAATCTTTAAACCATCTCGTACTCACGTTTTCCGCTGACATGAAATGGAAAGATTATATTGAATCAATTTTTAAGTCTGCTGCTTCGAATGTTAGTTCCCTGTGTCGTGCCAGA